AAAAAAAAAATAATATATACAGTGGAAAACAAAACCTCGAATAGGAATCAAGCTCAGCGAACTTCCCTCTCTACGCATTAAATGCACAGCTCCATCTGGTAGCTTAACACACCCGATGAATCGATCTTTAGCTTTAAAAAATTCCATTAGACTAAGGAAAAACTTCGTGGCAGCCCAAAAAATTTTCTAAGGCTTAATAACCCTGTCAAAACTTTATGTCTTCAAAAAACGCTAAGTAAAAAATTATACAATGAACGAAACGTTGACTGTACAGCTGCCCAAGTAAACAACGTTTTTTGAATCTGAATGTCAACGAATATTAGTTTTAGTCGGGAAATTTTCTACAATGGTAAAGCTCTTGGCAATGGAACAAGTAAAGATTTGTGTAGAACAAAGCAGAAGAATATGAAAGCTGAGGCCCAAAAAACAAGTCGAAGTTTAAACTAGCCACTCCCTATCCAAGCTCAAACCGCAGGGCCCATTGTGAACGTTACACCTTTAGCTTGTCTACAAACTAAAGTCCTTTTGCTAGACCCATTTTCATGGTTTACACGATCACCACTCCCATGTAGGTCACCCAAACCACTCCCTCTCCTAACTTCTATAACTGATACTTTCCTTTTTCTTCCATCAGATGAAACTGCAAAAAGTCCCTCAAATTATCTAGTACCAAAAAAACTTTTTCGTTCGGTACCCCCAAGAAGCCTAAAGTTGCGCGATAAAAGTCTAAGATTATCAGGTGGCCGAATAGCTCAACAATCCCACCACTACAGCGTTGTGACTCATACCCAAAAATCTGAATGGCATTTCCATTTCCAAACCACTTCTCAAAAATAACGCTCATGTCTCCCTCTTTCTCCTTCACGACGAAAAAATTAGAGAAAGGGCTGAAAAATCCTTTAAAAAAGCAGAGGCTAACTTCCAGAGTACAGTAAACTAAATGGTATGAGACTTTAACAGCAAAAAATTATACAGGAAAACCGGTTCGAAGCTAGAAAAAAACCGACTTGAACCATTTCCTGAAAATGAACTATGAAGATATGACTAGTCTTCTAGTGAAAAAAACATACCTTTCTTTTTTCCTACACCAAGCTTCTCGGCCTTCTTTTTTTCAACACCCGAACTTCCTCCTTTCTTCTTTTCAACAGCAAGGGTTTCTCTCTTTCCCTCTTCTCTGTCCTCTTCAACCTAAAAATGAGATTATTATTAATAAACAATCGTACTGCAAAACTAAAGATAATAACA